ACTCTTGGTTAAATTAACATGTTAAAATCACGCGAAGCGTTTCTAGAAAGCCGATTTTTTACTAAAAGTTTGTAACTTACTGTTTCCTAAAATACTGCCTCTTTGGCGCTCACTCACCGGGTATCTGACTGTTTTTAGTAAAAGAAATATCTAAGATCATCTCCAGTACTGCATAGGAAGGTCTTGGGTGATTTTACAACGCGAAGATGTCCTGAGGCAAGTAACATTTAAGAATCACTATTTAAATGTGACTCATGATTTAAACCGTCAACATCGATTACACGTTAAAAAACATAAAGCCGCAAGTTTATTTGAATTTCGTTTTTGTTATTGACCTTGCCTTGCATCAAAGGATACGCTGAACAAGGGCAATAAAAGACTGTAATTATAGGCCCAGGAATAGAAGTGGCTGAAACTAAAACGCGAATTTCGGATTTTTGCAGTTGGCGAACAGATTTTGAAAAGCCAGGCTAGTTTATTTTGACAGTGTCGTTTTCACAGTGGGAGTGAAAGTGAATATTTGGATACAGTTTTATCACGAAATAATTAGCTAATCTAGCAATGCATACGCTCCGAAAGATGTGAAATTAGCTATTTCAAAAGCTGAAAAAAAAAAAAAAAAAAAAATACAGACATAGTGGATGAAATACACACAGAAATGGAAACTACAAATACGTGCTCAGAGGAGGTTTTTTTCTTCATGGCAGGACGCCATTGACACATATCACGTTTATAAAAAAAACAGAATGATCTTCCCTTGTGCTACATCAGCACAGGAAAACCAACGAAATTATGGTCATCGTATTATCTGTCAGTCTGCACCCCCCCCCCTACCCCTCACACACACTTTCTTTTTTACTGGTACCAGAAGCTTTGACTATCTCAGCAACCACCTCATAGAAAGTTATAACTCTAATTACGGTACAACTGTACCGCTATTACAATATAGGTTGGCTGCAATGTAATCAAAGGTAACCACATAGTATAACGTGGGGACACCCCATCTCTTCCATGGTGTGACTCTCGTACCACTGCCTGCAAGCCCCTAGAACGGTCTTTGTTTGTCTGAAGCGCATATTGCGGCAACTGAACTCTAGTAAATGTAAATAATTACATTGTGAAACAATCTCATTAACCTCAAAGCCACAGAGTCGCATAAGGTAGAACTAGTTCACTTGTAGCAGGTACACTTGCTATGGACATCAAGCGTAAATGAACGGGTAAAGGATATTACTGATATATTTGATGAGTACTTCTTCTTTTCGTTCTCCCTGGCAATGGTTTTCAGATGAGAAGGCCGCATGCCTCTATGACGTCTGTGGTATGACGCATGTCTTTCACTGATCCAGAGAGTTTGGTTTCCATTGGAATGCCAACCAGCCACACCTGGGATCTCTCTACTGTATGAAGAGAGTATGTCTGTAGCACATGTTAAGTATTCTTTGGTGTCTGTCCACATGGGCAAAGTTCTGAATCCTCTATCTTTAGTTTCTTACACATACGGCTGCAGAGTCGGTTGTGTCAAGTCGCAGTCTAAACCTAATGGTCTGTTTCCTTTTTGTAAGAAGTTAATCGTGTCTTTAGGATTGGATCCAAGATTGGAAGTGTTTCAATGGATTCTAATGGCTGCCTTGATCTGAGTTTTATTTTCCCTATAAGTACATTCTGTATTTGGCTGTTCCGTATAACCTCCAATATTTGTTAAGTAGTCAGTTCATTGACTTCCCTCAATATTAGGATCCACTAGAGCGCAGTCTGCTTGGTTAGCTTGATAAGTGAATCTTTGTCCAATAAATCAAGAGGATCGACTTGGTTTCAGCGTTGTTCGTATCTCTCCCTCAAGGTCTCTCTCTACAGAACGCCTGTTTGTCCACTCAAAGCGTTGCATGAAACACTAAAGCTCCAATGACGACTTCTAGGAATCTCTAAAGGCCCCGAGCTCGATGACCAAGGGACAGAATTGAAACTGAATCATCAACCTCCAGATGATAATTTTATTGAGAGACAAAGAGGTCGCCCCTCCCCCTTAACCATTTATAGACATTCTCTTTATAAGAATATAGTATTATAACTGTTATTCCCCCGTGTGGGTTCTGAGGCCCCATTGTGGGGAAAACAAGAATAGACCCACTGCCTCCCCGAAAGCATGTCGTAAGAGTCGACTAATTGGGGAGCTTCCTTTGAAGTCGGAGTGCATCTGCCGGTGAGGCAAGGAACCAACAGTCTGTATTCAAGAGAAAAAGATCTGTAAAACTGATGCACACGCAACACTCAGGTTCTGGAGCAGGACTGCAGTTCAGTAGTGGACGAGCAACCAGAACTTTCCACCAGAGTGTACAGCTGGTGAACGCGAAGAAGAAGAAGAAGATAACTGAAAATGTGTAAGGAGGTAGAGGTATTTTTGAGAAAAAAGGAGGGTCCTTATGTTTTCTTTGTATCGGTGTGACTGCTCCCGGCGTCTTTTTATTACCAATATTACAAAGTAGCACACACAATCGCCATCATCATAATAATCGGCACTTTTATAATCGCCACTATTAAGGCCACGTTTAGTTAAACTGTAGCAACTTCTTGTAGATATATAAAACAACCTGCTATCAATATTTTCCTAACCTTAGTCCGCCTTAGATTAAAACATAATCACAGCCTCCATGTTCCTGATGTTTTTCAAACGCTCACGCGTATGCCACAATGTTTTGCAACATGCATTTGCAATCTTTGCGCACCACGTGACCCGACCCCAGTTAGCGGCCGATGTAAAGTGCAATCAGACCGGTACTAACACTTCCTGCCCTCTTTCTTTTATCGTTTACTTTCCCCTTTCATGTGCTCCATCACGGAGCGACAGTTATCGACACACACTTTCGATTGATTATTAATCATTTTTAAAACTTTGGAACAGTAATTTCCCTGGCATTACTGCATCGTCATCCTCCTAATCAACATCAATATTGTCATCATCATCATCATCATCATCATCATCATCATCATCATCATCATCATCAAATGATTGGCCGAAAGACGTAGGCAATCAAGTTTCTCTCACTATCGCGATGTTTTATGCTGCTACCGCTCTGTGAACGTCTCCTTTACTAAAATGCTAAATTTGTTCACAAAACAATATCACAAAAGCTCCATTCTACGTATGCCCGTTGTTTAAATATAATGGAAGGCATAGTAAATACCTGAACATATTACATATCCCTGAACCTAGTAACAGAACCAGTTTAGCGTACTCCCCAGCTCAGTTGAGGAAACATCTTCCACAACAAACAAAAACATCACAAGTACATTTACATACAATAGAAAACTGTTTGAGTATTGCCTGAGCACAGATTATATGCTCCCATTAAAGATAAAAGTATTTTAGAAAAAAGGCATATTTGCCCTTAGATCTATTACAATTACTACGGTTTACCATAGATAGAACATTTTGATGCTGTTAATAATGTTTACTGTTGCTTGATGTATGAGTGAAATAGTGTATGAAAGGAGGGAGGGAGACTAGAAGGGCAAAATACTAGACGGGCCTGTGTGCCCAATTCTTAACCCTTTCAACGAAAAGTTCGTTCATTCATTATTGCAAAGCTCTTATACGTATTCTAGCTTTCAGTTATACTTTATGGTTCCCTTCATATTGAATTATTTATTTTATTATTTTGCAATACTTGGTCTAATGTGATGTTACGTGGAGTCTTCTGCATTCCCTCAGTCAGTGTTAATATTGTCTTTCCTAAAAGAAAACATGAAATCTTTGGCCGCTTGCCCCTGGTCAATTGCCTTAGTTTTAGTCGATGTTTCAAATTCACTGGTCAATTGTCTGCCTGTAGCAACTCGCCCCAGAAGCTCTTTAGCACATATACTTGTCACGTTGACTGCGAACATTATTTCCATAACATTTCCAAGCCCACAGTAACAGAGAACGATGTCTGAATCATGTCTGTTACCTGTTCTACAATGATTACGTCCAGACAATTGATCCCCCCCCCCACCTCTCTCTCTCTCTCTCCTATTTTAAACGTCAAGCCAGAGTTTAGGACACCAAGTGATGCTATCCAGAGCCTACTGGAATATCTGCTGTCAAACGCTATTTTACTGTTTCCCAATTATTACCCCAACTATAGGTACCTAGATTTCCTCACATGTTTCTGGAAGATTGTTGCTAGATGCCACACCCCTTCCTAAATGTGATGTAACTGCAGCCGCTTATCCTAAGAAAGATTCTGTCTACGAAGTGTCTGTTAATACAATTTCACATACACTGGGTCATATCATCATATAGCAGGATAACTACTCAAGTTGTCTTTCCATTTTTACATTCCATTTATCGGTGACTGCTTGTATCTCAATGCCGTATTCAGAAAAAAAAACAAAGAAATAACACCTATCCTTAGCTAGAAATGAAAATGGACCACCCGGCTCAACGTCACCGTCACTAGGAAAACACTGGGAGAAGAGCACCAACCATTTCTTCCAACTTCCTCTTTTCAAACGTAACGTATTTTATAGGTAAGGGTGTCGTCGCAGAGCTCAATTCTAGTTCAAGAGCGTTATAATCGTAATAATTATGTAATGATTGGCAAATCAAAATAATTCTGAAAAATATGAGATTTATAAACATATACTTTTAGAGATAATTTGCCTATATGGATAAAAAGAGGCCACTTAGCCCACTTTCAAAATGTTGGAGTCCCTTAAACAATTTTGCAGGGGGTGGGGTTGGGGTTGGGGAGTCTCCGGGACCTGATTCCCCCAGATTCTGACGCCTATGGCCAGCCTGATAAACCTCTAAATGACGACTATGCCAGCAGGGCCGATGCTTAGATGAAAAGGATTGAATGTGAAAGCAAAGTGTTTACATTTTCACGTATGGAGACACACAAGGAACTTTTACAATCGGAGTATTTTTATAGTTGCACCATCAGGAAGCTATAGTGTAGGCAGAAAAACAATGAGCTATAGTGTAGGCACACAAACAAGCAGCTATATTTTAGGCAGACAAACAAGGAGATATAGTGAAGGAAGATAAACAGGGAGCTTAAGTGTAGGCAGCCAAACTGGGAACTATGGTGTAGGCACACAAACAAGGTCCTATAGTGTAGGCAGTGGTAATTTAAAGAGACCATTATATTCAGTTTCAATAGTGATCAAATCTGGGAAACAAATCCAGCTCATGCTTAAGGGTAAATGTATAAGAGTCATCTACAATACAATATGTTGCCTTACTATATGAAGCACAAGAGGCTTTTTCATGCTAGGTGCTGCGATTAAGCCAATTTCCAAAGGAAGATGAACAAAAACATGCATACATGCAAAAGACAAGTTTCTCAATCCTTAAGACACCCATTCGTATAAATTTGGTAAGGAAGTAGCATGCAAAATAGATGAATCGTTATACAGTATTATTCACAACAAAGGTAAACATGGGAACAGGAGGAGGAAGCAGAAACACGAACATGTATGGGCACAATTCAATTATAATTTTTTTTTATTGGGTCCTTAGGAGAGACGCGCTGTTAACTGCTCTTTCTCTCCAATGGTGTTCTGTTGTCTAGTGTATCCTCTACTTCTTTTCGGAGTGTAAGTGCATATCAGTGCTCGCGACTTCCCTTTATCTCACCACCGAAGAAATATCAGGTTAGCTGAGATGGATGCGTAGCCAAATTGACAGAAAAGCAGCTTTTGTTGTGGAGAACTACAGCATTAGAAAAGATCTTGAAGAGGGTCAAATTAAGAGGGGGGGGGGGGGGGGAACTAGCTATAGAACACTCTAGGCTAGCATTTTCCAAACGGAAAAGAAAGCTAGCTGATCGTTTCCGGAAACACCTCTCCGATATTGACAAGAAGACACTTAAACCAATCCCTCTCTATTTTAACAGCTCTGAACACAGAGGTAAAGACGACGTATCTGTCACAGCATCAAAATCTTGCTCTGGCGATCATACCAGGTGGTATTATTTATCCAACATACCTTGATCTAAACAATTTACCTCTTATAACATTTAAAATCGTAATTCTTTTCTGTTCTTTTTTAAATTTCATAATATTATTTTATTCTATCTCTTATCAGTATAATTTATGTAACATTACCATTTGTCATTCATCTATTCCTACGATTATATTATACATTACCAATATTATGTTTTAATTTTTGCGACTATATTTTTAAAGCCATCGTTTATTTAATTTCATTTAATCCATTTCACATCAAATTTTTTAAAAAGTTGCTCATGTCACCCCTCAGAGATCTTAATACTCTCCTCTCCTCTTTGTTATCTTTGTGTAGTTCACTTCATATTTGACAAAAGCTGCCGACCAAAACTTTATTTATGTTGTTTTGTGCACTTTTTTTCTGCTTCCCCACTTGGTTAAGCTTTTTAGTCAAATTTCACTGGAATACCCTTTTCCAAAAGTATCGCGGCACATTATTGTTTTGGCTGCAGAGGGACTGCGTGCCGCGCGAGCATAAAGCTATGTCTGGATCAGTATCTTTTTTCCTGGGTTAGTTTAGCTGTTGGTTTGTTAGTAGACTGAGTTAATGTATAGCAAAATCATGTTTGCCCAAAAAGCGTGCCATCTACATGGACATTTTGAAAAGATTCTGCCAGAGTCGCTCGTCTACTGGTCATAAAGTTATAGCTTCAAATCAGTATCGTGTTTTTGTTTTTCAAACTGATCCCAGGTTGACCCCGCCCAAATTAGGTACCAGGTAATAAATATATATAAGTAAAGATCCAATTTCACGCCCTTAGGGGAATCGGGCATACGGGAAAAGGACACATATTTTTACAGACCAATCGGCACTAGGTGGGTAATGTGGTCAACATTACGCCGGCCGTCTTTACTTTCCCAGGACAGCCATCCTGGTACCCATTTTAGGCTGGGTCGACCTGCGACGCTCCATATCATGATAAAAATCCACGCAGCCTGCGGTGGGTTTTGATCGTGGTACGTTGGAATTACGATTTCGACTCGCAACGCCTAAGCCACGGACGCCCCACCAGGTAATATACTGGGAAGTAAAGGCATCCGGCGTGATGTTGACTATATCACGTATTGACCCCAGAAAGCGTTTTTCGAGCACTACATACCCAATATGTCATAGGTGAAAGTGCTTTTTTCTTCACTTTTACAAAAACACCATCGAGACTGTTTTCAAGTCCTCCAACATCAACACGGAGACACGAGAAGTTGCAGCAAAAGATCGATTCAGATGGCGTACACTTCTTTATCATACAACAATCGAAGCAGCAGAGATCGCATTGGGAACGCAGCGGCCTGTAAAAGGTCGACCTACTCTCAAACACTAACCAACACATTTCCTGGAATGTCTAGATGACGGGTGTGACTTCGATTACTTCAATACTCATGGCGTGCCATCGCTCTAAACACACTATGATAACATAATGTCAATAGTTTTTGTAAAATGACTTCTTTATCTTTGTCCAAATTTTTTTTTTTAAAATACTAGAACATGCTTTCATCATCATCATCGTCATAACCATTTATGCCTCTAAGAGACGTGGGGAGGAATAATTTGCTATCCAGTGCTCGTGTAGGGTCACTGGTTATTGCCATGCAGTGAAGGCGTAGAGTGTCTTAAATGCTGTTGATTCATGTTTTTCGCGGCCGTTCTATTGCTCTGGTTGTTGATCTTCTGAGATGTAGTTTCTGTGGTGCTATTTGATCTTACTGCATTCTAGCGAGATGGCCAAACCACTTGAATCGCTGTTTCTCGATGAATCTTGTATAAGGTATTGTTTCGACAATTTGTCTGATAGTTTGTGTTTTTACATAAATATTTACTGTGTTCTCGATGTTTTCAAAACCTTCCAGATTATTACTTATTGCAGTCCAAAGTGTTATCATTTATATCATTTTTCCCTTAGTTACCTTGATTTGAAGCAGACAATGATCACAATGGCTCTACAGTCGTCTCTGTTATCTGATATTCTGATAAATGTGTATTATTTGTATATTAATATTTATCTTTGACCGTTGTCTATTAGGTCTAAAAGAGGCTAATGTTTATATTCCCCCTTCTCCATTGGCGTGCCTTAAAAAAACTTTAACCTGTCATGTGCTAAAGGCATTAATGAGTAATCTTGAAACACCTAAATGTGTCACTACGTCGTAATTTTTTCCCGTTTCTTATTCTCGTAATCCATGCCGTGTGGCATTGATAGTCATTCCTACTCACAATCTTTTGTCTCATGCACTTTCTATCAACTCTGATACAGATTATTCTTCATTTCATGATGTCAAATTGTCCAGCATCTGTTCTCTCAGTTTTCCTCTGCGTCTTTGCCCTTCCATCTTTTCCAGCATCACGATGTTTTCCAGTTGTCTCCTTCTTGTTGCAAACAGTTATTTTAGTGAGTCAATGTCTTTGATATTTTCAAATAAAGAGCTTGCATATGTTTTCTGATAAGTCGTTGATTATATCCACATTCATCTAAAAATATATCTTCACGACCTCTATTTTCTTTCCTCTTTCATGACTCATTGTCCAGTTTTCAAATCCACTCTGATGACCACTCAAAGATTTAAAGCTACGTAATACAACTAAGTACTTAGAAAATAAACAGAATTATATTACCAATCTCCAATCACAAAAACTTACTGAGTAAAATGTTTAACAGTCGGCGATATACTGTTTTACAAACTAACGAACTGTGTATCCAAGAGTCTATGTAAGTGGTCGCGTGAGTACAGGAAATCAAAAGCATAACAGAGTTACACAAGCAGACGGCGAAGAATAGCAAAGTTTAGGTGCTTGGCAGTAATTGGCAAAACAGGCATGCATTTGTTGATACTATATTGTACTACATGCACACGAGGCTCCAGCACTTGAAAAACATGTAAATAAATACCTGGTTTTGAAATGGGAGGACCTGAAAGAGAGAAAATTGTATTGAACTGAGTACATGTTGAACACACTTTCTAGTTATGAAATGGGAGGTTTTGTAAGAAGCAAAACTGTAATATACTAAATACATGTTATAAGTGAAAGAAAAGGATAATGTCCACACAACTGAGGCATCAGACAAATCGTAACCGATTTATTGTTGTGTTCGATATCGGCATTCGATGGACGATATTTTCACGTTGCACAAAGGAACTTGACAACACAACACTAGAAACATGCGCTGCCGAATGTTTATCGTGAAAACATTAACAATTTCATTGAAGAACGGGCCAATTAACAAGCTTAAAATATTCATCAAAGGATCCTCGGGAAGTTAACCTTGATTAAGAAGTATCTGGTTCAAAAGTGCTTGTTTTCATTGAGGTTGATGCTTGCACTTAATGAACAAAAATCAATGCTCGTAAATACATTTCTAATTTAGAAAATAAACAAAGCGCGCCCCCCCCCCTTTTTTTTTCCCCCTACAAAAAGTCATTTTCTTGAGGTGGACGGGGAAGATGCTTGGAGGATCGAGAACTAGTAGTTCCGTATAGAAAATCCGTCTCCAACTCGACAAATTCTGAATCTGAGCTGAAAATGACGCCTTTAATTTAAGTTGCAGAGGATGTGTTTATAAATAAAATATTTCTAAAGAGAATGACCCTAGCACTTCACAATAAAATTAAAAAAGTAAAATTAAAAGGTTACTGAAAATAAGAATCTCTGGTTTAAAATGTTAGTTTTAAAAGCTTTTCATGATGTCCCGAACCTAACTTGGGTAATTACTGGTTGTCTCTCAGTTCACTAGGCAATTCTACATTCAATAGGTTCACTAGATAACCACTAGACAACATACAGATCGAAATGTTAGGTACAATGTTCGGAATACAACAATATCGTGCTAATGACTACATCATCTCGCTGCAAGAACAAGTTTTCTAAGACGCATGACCCTATTCCAAATTTAACACTTTTTGGCATTCAGGACATTATTATTATTATTAATAATATTATTAAAACAAGACGTAAGCTTCTCAAGCACAAAACAAAAGAAAATATATAAGGGACTGAACACCCCCTACCTTTCCAAATGTTTTCTTTGTGTCAGCTCTCCTGGTCACAAGTTAAC